GAAATCAGTGCACACTTAGATTGATAGACCAATACAGATCAATTAAAATAATATTTAGTATTAATAATAAAATAATATAATAAATGCAGCATTATTATTATTGTTATTACTTTTATTATTATTTTAGTAGATATGGTTGCCAAGTTTGTAAAACTAGCGAGCAGACATGATTAAAATTATGTAATAAAAAATAAAGTTTAATTTTTTATTATTACGCCGTGACAGAAAAAAAGTGGAATAAGGCACTTTAGTTGACAATTTTTGTGAATTGAAATGCATTTTTTCAGACTAATTTAATATAATCTATAATAAAATATATTTATTTATTATTTTTAAATGTATACATAAGAATAAAAATATTAATATTATTAGAATTAATATTTTTACTATGCGTCAGCACTATATACTTGGTCTCATATTTAGACCAATACAAATCAATTAAAATAATAATCAATTAAAATTAAATAAACAAACAAATATATAAAAAGTAAATAATACCAACACCAATATATTGTGCATCCCTATTTTTATCCTAGTGGATGCAAAAAATACGTGTACAACAAACATCTCACATTTTCTTGTTAAAAAAAAACAAAAAACGGAAGAAAAAAAAACAAAAACCAATAACTTGAATTATTATTTAAGGCTGTAAATGTTTCATGTTAACTATTTTCAAAAATATATTTACAACAGTCCATTTTGGTAAAAAGGTTATGTTGTCAATTAACAGATAGTGACTACAGTTGGTGAAATCCAGTACGCAATATACAACGTCAACGCATGTGCACGTGTTACACGACACCGGTCACGTGAGTTTAAAACACGAGATGAAGAAAAGACACCAAATGCATTTAAACTACGTTTATGACTATTGCAACAATTAAAAAGAATCAAGTTCGTAAGAAGACAGTGAGTCACATTTACAGAATGTTACAACTAAAAAATTATTTTTTTTTAAATTCAAATATACAGCTAGACATTTCTCACAGGCAACCAGAATAGCCTTGAGCAATAAAAGCAAATTCAAATATACAAATAGACCAAACTAAGAGCAACTTTAAACTTACTAGTAGCATTTGTGCACGGTGCTCGAAAGCTAAAAATACTCACAAGCAAAGCTTCAGCCTCCCTCACAGTGTCACATGTAGCCAGTCGACTTGAGTTTCACATCACATCTAAAGAATATGCCATATTATTTACTACATAAGAGCGCAACACTAAAAGCAGACTTATATAAGCTGACATTCACAATTTCATCCAATTGTTACCACCAGCGGCGGCTTGGGTGTCGACCGAAAGCTGTAATTTTATTCCTATCGTCCAATTTACTGACATCACCAGAAGTGTGACTCAACTTCCACTCTAGTTTGAATACAGAGAGTCTTGGCCTTTGTTGCGTCTCAGATCGAGTTGCATTTGCTTTATTATACCAAACATGAACCATGCACCACAAGGTTCTTCCTTTGATCTGAATCAGCGCAGACAAATCAATGCATTTTATTATCAAATATCATCCACCTGACCGGCCTGTTGCGTCTGCAGCAGCTCGCGATCCTTTAATCCAAACGGCGATAACCCAAACTAAGTCGATCGACTCAAAACAGGACATAAAATATTTACTTTTCAGATCTGCGGACGCTCAGCTTGGCTTTTTGAAGATGTGGCAACCGTGTTTACTCTCAATCGCTGATAGATTCCAATGGCATTAACAACTTACAATCTCAAAGACACAGATTCACTGCTTTGCTATGTGGAAAACAGCGTCCACCTAAAACTGGGAAGGGCAAATTAATAGCAGGGCTGGTTTAAAATAGAAACAATGAGTTCTGGCTTATAGGCAGAAAGAAGCATCTTTCATATCAAATGCAAACTTCAAACATTAAGCACTAGTGTCTGTTTTACCTAACTTGCATATTCAACAAACGTCATGGTTTTAGTAAAATTCTGACTACCTCACATTCTGGTGTCTGTTTTACCTAACTTGCATATTCAAAAAACGTCATGGTTTTAGTAAAATTCTGACTACCTCACATTCTTTTATCTGCTTTTTTTTTTTTTTAAAGTAGATAAGCGTGTTGGCTTGTAAGATAAATAAATAAACTGTTTGATTATGCCGTGACAAAAAAAGTGGAATAAGGCATTAAAGGGGTCATATGATGCGATTTCAAGTTTTCCTTTCTCTTTGGAGTGTTACAAGCTCTTGGTGCATAAAGAAGATCTGTAAAGTTGCAAAGACTAAAGTTTCAAATCCAAAGAGATATTCTTTATAAAAGTTAAGGGTCAACCACACCTACCTAAAAAGCCTCGTTTAAACACTATGTGGGAAGATTTGCATAACGCCGCCCAAATGTTCACGCAAAGAAAGATAGCATAACTTTTATTCTCGCTGTAGTATTGTTGCTGCTGCCATGTTGAGACGCTGTGTGTTTCGTTGTGAAAGCGAAACTACTTTGTTTGG